TATTTGATGAAAGGGGAGGGCATAAAGCTTTGCGCGCCCCAGGCGGCAAAACCCTAGCTACGCCAATGGCTCCATGTGTTCTCTGTTTCATGCTAGAACACGTACGCATGTTAAAACACACACATGCATGTCAGGAGGAACACGCACATATCAGGACATACATATTTATGTAAGGACACTCCACCGTTGGGATAAGATGGAGAACTACAGGCACTAACACCACTGCTATTTTGATAAAGCCCAATGTGGGGTTAGGACCCCATTTCATTGTACGAAGTCTAAGATTGCTAAAATTAAATATTTCCTAAGGCTTACCATTATAATCTACAAGGGCCGTTTCCATGTCCTCTTTTTCCCTCATATCCTTACTCTCTCTCTCTCTCTGTCGCTCTCTCTCTCTCTCTCTCCAAAATATCCTTTCTCTCTTCCACATATCCTTACGCTCTCTCACACACATATCCTTAATCCCTACTCTCTCTCACACACATATCCTAACTCACACACACATATCCTTACTCTCTACACAAATATCCTTAATCTCTCTCCAACATATCCTCCCTCTCTCACACACAAATCCTTACTCTCTCACACACATATCCTTACTCTCTCACACACATATCCTTACTCTCTCTCTCTCCCACATATCCCTACTCTATCTCTCTCCCACAATTCCTTACTCTCTCGCACACATATCCTTACTCTCTCTCCAAAATATCCTTACTCTCGCACACACATATCCTTACTCTCTCCCCCACATACCCTTACTCACATTCTCTCACACATATCTTTACTCTCTCCGTCTCTCTCATATTCTTACTGTCTCTTTCTCTCTCTCTCTCTCACACACACATATCATTACCCTCTCTTCTCTCTCTCTCTCTCTCTCTCTCTCTCTCTCATACACATATCCTTACTCTCTCTCACATGCATATCCTTTCTCTTTCTCCCACAGGTCCTTACTCTCTCCCCCACGTATCCTTACTCTCTATCCCACTTATCCTTGCTCTCTCTCTCTCTCCTACACATCCTAGCTCCCTCTCTGTCCCACACATCCTTTCTTTCTTTCTGTATCTCCCTCTCTCTCTCTCATCTCTCCTCTCTCTCCCTCTCCCTCATCTCTCCTCTCTATCTCTCTCTCTATCTATGTCTCTCTCTCCCCCTTCTCTCTCTCTCTCTCTCATCTCTTCTCTCTCTCTCTCTCTCTATCTATGTCTCTCTCTCCCCCTTCTCTCTCTCTCTCTCTCTCTCTCTCTCCTCTCTCCTCTCTCTCTCTCAGACACACACATCACCTCTCTATCTCCCTCTCTCTCTCTCATCTCTCCTCTCTCTCCCTCTCCCTCATCTCTCCTCTCTATCTCTCTCTCTCTCTATGTCTCTCTCTCCCCCTTCTCTCTCTCTCTCTCTCATCTCTTCTCTCTCTCTCTCTCTCTATCTATGTCTCTCTCTCCCCCTTCTCTCTCTCTCTCTCTCTCTCTCTCTCTCTCTCATCTCTCCTCTCTCTCTCTCAGACAAACACATAACCTCACTATCCCTGCTTCTTATTTCCCTGACTCACATTTATCACTTACAGCATTTTGGGTGTGTTTAAAAAAAAAATTAAATGTGTAACTTTGCATTCAAACACTGCTTTGTGAATGTAATGTGAATGTAATGTGAATGCACTGTGAATGTAATGTGAATGCAATGTGAACAATTTCCCCTTGATGAAAAAAAAAAGGTTAATAAAAACTTAATATATGGTTTAAGAGTCTTGTTGGTGATTTAAGATTCAATGCGGTTTTTTTCGTGTAGCTTTTAATTGAAACCAATACCATAAGCGATTCTGTACGACTTTAACTCACCGGGGGAATCAGATCCTATAAGTGACGCCCCTGTTCCGTGACATTAAAATTTACTAACGTAAAAGGATAATATATGGGAAAGGGGGGTGGGTGGGTGTTGAGGAATGCTAATGCATAAGTGGTGTTCAATTTTCACAAAAGCGATCACATACGTCTCTAACAATAATTTATAATACGATAATAGCACATGGTCTACATAGACCTCTTTAGTGTCCTTTAAATTTTTTTACTAGAAAGTAAGTGACGTCATCAATAAAGCTTTTTTTTTGGTAGGAGGTGGGTTGGGGGAGGTGGGGTAGCTTTGTGTCTTTTCCAAATATTCCAGAACATCAGCACACACTCCCACCGGTGAGATGCACCTATAATCACAAAGGGACAGTATGCTACACTACACTACGGTACAGTGCACTACACTACACTACACTACGATACACTACACTTCACTAAACTACGGTTTTCTTCACTACAGTACACAAAGCTACGGTACACTACACTACACTACACTGAACTACGGTACACTTCACTAAAAAACTGTACACTACACTAAACTGCTGTACACTACACTATACTACGGTACACTACACTACACTACGGTACACTACACTAAACTACGGTAAAATAGACTACACTACTCTAAGCAACCCACACTACATTACGGTACACTATATTACACTACACTAAACTATGGTACACTACACCACACTACACTAAACTAAACTACGGTACACTACACTAAACTACGGTAAAATAGACTACACTACTCTAAGCAACCCACACTACATTACGGTACACTATATTACACTACACTAAACTATGGTACACTACACCACACTACACTAAACTAAACTACGGTACACTACACTAAACTACGGTAAAATAGACTACACTACTCTAAGCAACCCACACTACATTACGGTACACTATATTACACTACACTAAACTATGGTACACTACACCACACTACACTAAACTAAACTACGGTACACTACACTAAACTATGGTAAAATAGACTACACTACTCTAAGCAACCCACACTACATTACGGTACACTATATTACACTACACTAAACTATGGTACACTACACCACACTACACTAAACTAAACTACGGTACACTACACTAAACTATGGTAAAATAGACTACACTACTCTAAGCAACCCACACTACATTACGGTACACTATATTACACTACACTAAACTATGGTACACTACACCACACTACACTAAACTAAACTACGGTACACTACACTAAACTATGTTACACTACACTAAACTATGGTACACTACACTACACTACACTAAACTACGGTACACTACACTCAGCATAGGTTGTTAAGAATCACGCTTAAGAAGAAATCACAATTATGGTACAACTTGCAGGATGATCTCTCAATAAATTAGGAAATATGCAAAGCATCCACGGTGAACCACACTACTACTGAACTGCAGCCTCGAGTAAGATTTTTAAAAAAAAAAAAAAAAAAAAAAACGAAAAAGTTTTCTAAATCCCCCCCCCCCAACCGCCCTATATATCCGATATGTAATACATTAATTAATGCGAAATGGACTTGCTAGTTGTAACATTCTAGTTGCATGATTCCAGAAAGCAGGGGCGTCATTTCAGGTTTTTTCATGGGGGGGGGGGGGGCTAAACTAAAACTTGGTTGGCTCGTTAAGTTGTTTCTTACTGGAGGCACCACAGTACATAACAATTTAAATAAATCCTTCATTTTCGGGGGGGGGGGGCGGTGAGATGCCCCCACCCTGCCCTACCCAGATGACGTCCCTGTCAGAGAGTATCGTCAGTGATACTTCCCCGCCCCAGAAAAAAAACTGAAATGACGCCCCTGATGGGTATAGTCTATAGTAGCTGATTTTCATCTTGCGGAACTGATATACCAAACAAGTCAACATCATCCTCATCTAACCATTCAGCACTTAAAATAGAAGCATTGTCTGTGTGAGCAATACTTGCCATAAGCTCTCTCCATCTCCTTGCAGCTACTTGCATTGGTCGAATCCTTTGTTGTTGAGGAGCATGTGATAATTTCTTATGCTCAAGAGGGCATTGCCGGTTCTGTTGAACATGCTTTTTCACCATGACTTGTGATGCAAAATTGATGTTACAGATTTTACAAATCCGTTCAAGCAGCGATGGTATATTTAACTCACTTTAATACATTCCCCTAATTCTCAAAATATTGTATTCCTACTCTATCAATATCACTTATCTTGACTGCACGTGACACTTTAACCGTGTCCTTGTTCCATACCTGCAACAGAATCTACAGGTAAAGAGATGCCAACTCTTGACTTCTCTTGCACTAACAAAGTGTGCTAACATTCTCGCCAGCCACCTGCACTGCACAGAGACACGTCAAATAAATCTCATATTATTAAAAGCCTAAAAATTATATGACTATTTACACTCATTTACACTTATAAATGAAAAAAAAAAAATATGTATAAAACATGATTGTTGACGTCAACTAATCGAAACCCCCCTCCCTCCCCCTTGTCAACAACTGTCAAACATTTCCAAACCCACTCCCCCCATTTTGTTGACGTAATTAATGGACGCCCCCTAAATGGTTAAAAAGTCCTTTTTTTATTTTAAAAACCTTTTACCAATCCGATTCATTGAGACTCGCTCAACCACATTGTATTTATTATCAATAGAAAGCTAAAATGACTCAGAATTTAGATAAATATAGTTTCCTGTCACTTAAGAAAGTTACCGAACACTCAAATCGGTGTTGAATCATGATTAAAACAGTATTCTTCTGCCCTAATTATAGGGTCATCCTATTTCTTACAAATCAACCTTGAGCTTTTAATTAAGAGTGCATTTCGATTGGTTATATGTAATATGTGGAGAATTTATTTGTGATCGGTTATTCTTTTATGAAATTCGGGTAGACCGAGCAGTGCGTGCTCTGTAAATATGCAATTTTCCTGAGATGATGTCACCCGGTGCGGTCCGCACCCCTACACCCCACTGGCTACGGCACTGATAATCGTTACGAATAATGAATAAGTAATGAGGCTTACAGATGAACCTTAAAAGTTTACATAACTGTATTATAATTATTGTATACTTTTAATGCGAATTTTCTTTAAGATTATCACCATTTAAATAAAAAGTATAACGGGTTTTTTCAAGACGCGGGCATGAAATTGCTTTAGTCGCAAGTTCGGAAAGTGTTGAAAATAATCAGTAGGCTATTTAAAACTATTTATTTTCGTGATTTAAATTGTAAAATATTTTTTAAAGAAGTATGACTTCATTTAATTTGAAAATATTCTTGTCACAGTTGTTTATTTGACGCTCGTCCTTTCATTTTCTAGTCTAATTTGTTATTAAACTTTGACTTTAAACTTTTAAGCTTTAGTTTTATTCAAAAACGACTACCGTTAACTAAAAACTAAAACTTAACCAGCAGTAGCAGACTCAAGAGTGACAGTGACAGTAACTTCAGTAACAGTAACAGTAGTAACACTTACTCCCTCAAGACTAATGTGGCAAATTAAATAAATATAAAGGCAAAACTCTTCAGAGTTAGTAGACAGTATAGTAATAAGTATAAGATAAGATAAGGCACAACTTCACAGCACAAGTCAATAATAGTCACTAATAAGTAATACTATCAGTAATCTAACATTCATAAGAAAAGAAAGAATAGAGGTCTGGAATATCTCTTTTTCACTTTACTTATAATTTAAAATACTCCACCATTGGTCCAGTACAATTTCAAAAATAATTTACTACTAGTACTAGTAGTAGTAGTAGTAGGGCTTTACTAGGCCAGGCCTTATCTTTTGTCTATACTATAGTCATAGTCTATAACTATAATAGACTATAATATGAGGTCTGAGTCTGTAGTCTAGTGTAGTATAATGTTAACTATATATTAAATGAGTTCATATATGTGGATGCGAACAGGCAGGGCTAGTCTTGAAAGTAAAATTACTACAGCTAGTGCTCGACTTATACCACAGCCATAGTCAGTTCTGACGACTAGCCGTAACACGATTTGGTCATAAGTTGAGTACGCTATGTGTACAGTAATGTGAAGTGATGTTATAAAAATATTCTAAATTTAAGTTAAATTAGGCCCTATCATTTCTTTAATTATTGTTATAAATCATAATTTTAGATGTTCATTTTATGCCATTTGTATCATCTCTACACCATTTTGTTTCTTTTTTATAAAATAAATCTGAAATCTAATAATAATAATCTGGCTAGTGATTGTGGTTGTAAAGTGGAATGGTCATCCATAAATTGCGTCGGTCGTAAGTCGTAAGTCGAGAGCACTAGCTGTATAATGAAAGCTTCTTCTACTATTACTAGTATAAGTAGTGCTATTAATGGACTACTCTACTAACTGTTTAGTTACTAACTAAGACTAAGAAGAATCTAGGATACTTCACATATAAAATACATTTCATTTATCTTAGCGGCTCATTATAATTAATAATAATAAATTAATATTAACAGATCAAGAAGCCTACATAAAATGATCTTCTTAAAAATAGGCAAAGCTCAGCAGTAAGCGTCACTTGTGGGGTGCAGTCTGCACAGGGCGACACTCACATTGGAAGGTGGGGGGAAGGAGGAGAGTGTACACACACTCAACAAAAGGTTGATACCAAAAGGGAAAAATATACTGACCTTGTTATTTCAAATTGTCATAGACGTTGTTACATACAGTAAAACAATTGGGTGCAATTTAAGCAAGTTGCAACCAGAGCAGTTGGTCACCAGAAATGGGTGCGATCAAAGCAATCGCTTCCAGAGCAGGGTGTGACTCTATCTGGGAGCAATCCTAACAATAGCAAGAGGTCCCAAAAGGAGTCCATGCTAGAAATCTTAAAGAGAGTGGGATGACACAGTGAGTTTACCGTAGCGGGTGACACCTACCTTAGCAACGCCACTGCTGCACAGTGGTCTGGTATGGTAGCAAAGTTTGCAAATGCAAGTTCACACAAAGTATGATAAGAAGAGCACAATGTTAAAAACTGCTTTTTCTTTCTAATTTTAAAAGACAAACTTAATCTTATCTCATTTGATTTATCCACAATTGAAATATTTAAAATTGGTGTTTTTAGACATTTCACTTGAATACAATTTCAATAAGGTCTACATGATGTGAAGTCTAAATCTAAAGAATACAGTTAGGCCTAACCTAATCAAATGTATTATTATTATCTCACTTGTGTTAGCTAACTTAAAACTATGCCCTTGGCTTGTGTCAATAGGTCTAATTTATTCAAATTTAGTGGAATTCTGCCTGTACTGGCTATTTGAATTTCGATATTGTTTTAAAAGCTTAAAGCATAAGTCCTAATTGAATTGATTAGCCTATTTAACTTATTTTTTCAAATATTGGTAGTCTCATGAGACTATTTATATTTAGTACTTAGGCCTTATTAACTTTTATGATAAATGAATGCAACATAAAAAAAAACCCACAAAAACTTGCTCATTAGGTTATTACTTGATAAGCCTGTAATTTATAATTTTATTTGTAAAACATCATTGTCATCATTTGAAATAATTATACTAAATTATTAGTTATCTTTAACTTTCTTTCTAATTGATTTTTAAAAATTCTATTTCAGAAATGCCAAACTTTGGAAAATTAGCCAGAATCAGCCTTGCGCTTGCTATGCCAACAAGTATATTGTTGATTTATTGGTTGTATAGACATTGGTCACAAGGTTAGTAAGACAGGTTTTTGATATAATAACTTTGCTCTTGTTTAAAAATATTTGCTATCTTGGTTGGTAATTTTTAAAATGGACTTGAAAGAAAAAAAAGTCACTCAATAATCTATTTAATCCTCAGATGTGCTGCAAAATTTCATGATACTCTCATTTTCATTTGATGGCTTATTAATTAAAAAAAAAAAATGATTGTTTAGTATTAATAAAAATGTTACAATAAGACGATTATCATTAACTTATTAAATTATTAACTTTTCACTACATCAAAATCTTTTTTTGGATAACTTATGCATTGATTTTTATGTATGTATTGCATATAGATGATGAAGTATTTGGCCCAAACAGAGTGATCACCACACGCAATACTAATATTGAAATACTAGTACCACAGAGAGCAGTTGGTGCCATCATTGGACGTCAAGGGTCAAACATCAAACTGGTGTGTCTTTATTTAGGTTTTAAACTATCACTCGAGTCTATTCACAATACAAAATTCATTTTAAAAATCATCATCACTGATTGAATGTCTGACAAGATCAGCTAAGTCTGCTTACCAAAATTTTTAATACTGCAACAGAGTAAACACAAGCAATTAGGTTTTTTAAAAAAAGTCATGTCATTGCAGAGCAATAGGCTTTCAATGGTGTGTAAAAAAAAAATTGAAAATCTGGAAAGAAACAATGTAATTTAAATTGCAATACCAGCGTGGAATGTAGGATCCAAGTGTATTGGTCTTCAGGCTTTTCAATTTAATCTTGTTCCGCAACTAAAAGTAATGAATGTAATTACTTAACCAAAAATTATTATTTTCTGTGACACGCAGTTTTCAAGCAAATTTCTATTTTATTAAAAGATCTTCACAAGTAACAACTTATCTTAAATGACCATTTACTTTGTCTGTCAACAGCCCCAAAAAATGTGTAAATTTACTGTATCTTTCTTGTTACACCTGATGTGCGACACACCAATATTTCATGGGACATGACACGCTGGTTGAAAACACCACTTTAGAATATATATTATTATTGATATAAGTCATTGTTATTAATATGTCCTAATGCTAACAAATACAATGATTTTTCTAAAATGATTGATAACATTTAATTTAAAAAAAACTATATTTCATGTATTAAAGTTTTCAAACAATTTTTTCTTGTTTGCTTGAATTAATTTTCCTCTAATTTCCCTATCAGATTCAAAAGAAGACTGGTGCACGGTTGCATTTTAAAGACAGGAAAGCCTCTGAGGATAATGATAAAAGTTTTAAGCAGACCCACCGTACAATAGTTATACTGGGAAGTCCAGAATCTGCACAGCTAGCTGAGCTTATGGTCCATCAGGTAGGTCCAACCACTGAAACACATGTTCCCATGCATGAAACATTTTCCAATTTTATTAACTGAGAACATATTTTAACTTAAGACTAAAAGGGATGCCAATGTTTATATGTCACCACTAGGTCATAGCTGACATCCCTGAAACTACAACAGAAGAAATTGAAGTCCCCTCCTATTTTCTTGGGGGATTAATTGGTGAGTCTCAATTTCAAAACAAAAAAAATTTAGCTAAGTAATTTTTTTTATTTTTATAGAATACAAATTTTATTCTTGAGATTCCTGATGACCTTTGTGCAGTTCCCGTAGTTGCTTCGTGATTGTGAATGGTTGCTGCAAACATTCTTCTTCTAATATCATATGACCACAATATTTGAATAATATCATACGTTTTTAATTAATTTTTTTAACTTGTGGAATACTTTTTTCTATAATGCGCAAGAAGATTGCAAATGGGCAAGAAGATTGCAAACAAGTTTCACCTTTTCATAGGTCTATAATTAATTGAATATACATTTTAATTTATACAAAGAGGGGGTGCAAGAATTAAAAACTATAAGCTTGAATATACAGCTTGGTAAAGTTTGGAAGCAACTATTCTGATTTTTCAAACCATGAAAAAGGCCAGAATAAAAAAATGTAAGTTTCATGACATCCTATAATTTAAAATTATTTAAAGTGAAAAATTGTAGGGCATATTCTAATTTGACAGGCAAAGGCGGGGTGACAATACGAGAATTGACCAAGGCAAGTGGTGCAAGAATACACATTGGACCTTCCCAGGATTACAAAAGTTCTGAAAAGCCAAGGGTGATCGCACTGACTGGTTCTAGGGAGCAGATTGATTCTGCTCTGGTAAATCTATTTGTTCATAAGGGCTTGTATCTAAATTTTAAAGACAGAAGGTTGAAACAAAATAGAGGCAGAATAATATCAGGAATTATTATTATTATTTTTTTTAAATTGGAAGTCAAAAAAGAAAAGCAATTAAAATTGGGTTGAATACAATTAAATGGAAATAAGCAGAAGTTGGATAAAAAGATTGTGCTCTTTGACAGAAGATGCAGAGTTCAATTTTGGTTAATAATCATATTTCAGATTCTCTCATTAACTAAGCTTGGTAGGAAATGAGGTCTCCTCGGGTAAAATCTATTTATAGGTCAAAAGGGAAGGGGGATGCAGGGCTGACATAAGATGGGGGGGGGGGCAAAAAAGTTGTGAAACACTTGTCTAAACTGATTCGTTCATGGTTAACCCGCCTTTTCTACACTGAACAGGAATTAATCGAGCAAAAACTGGAGGCTCTTGAAGACTCTCGAGTCAATTCCAAAAGGATAGGTATGACGCCCAGCAACAAGAAAAGAGAGAAAATTAAACTCACACCAGGTAATGCATAACTTTTCTCTGTGGATTTTATAAATTTTTCTTTTATATTTTAACCAAAAGGAAAATATTGCCAACATTAAAGGAATACAGATTTAATGCATACATCTGCTTGTAAAGAATATCAAGAAATGCTTCTTGCTTAAAGACAAACCTCTTTTTAACTTAGAGCACTGAACAAAGACTCATCATCATCAATGGCACTACAGCCCATGTAGGACCCTGGCCTGCTCCACCACATCCTTCCATTCGGAGCGATCCATGGCTTTCCGTCTCCATGCTCGAACCCCCAACTGGTGTAAATCTGTCTCCACATCATCAATCCACCTCATCCTTGGGCGACCGATGAGTCGTCTGCCCCTAGGCTTCTGCCTGTATATAATTTTGGCTGCTCTGCATTCCGGCATCCTTTCAACATGACCTGCCCAGCGTATTCTGCCTTTTTTTATCATTGTGACTATGGGTGGTTCTTTGTACAAATAGTAAAGTTCTTGGTTTGAACAAAAACTACCATAGATAATTCATTCATGACCCATTTGTTCATAAGCCAAAACCCCCTCCCCAGTTGTGAACAGGAAATGTCTGTGTGTAATCCACTCATATGCTGAAATAATATGCCAGTGTAAGCAATACAGTACCAAAAAATATCATGGAAGGGATTATGCTTGTGCTTTAAAATGACTCGTCAATGGCTCCATCTCCTTTTGGTACCTTTTTTATATGTCATGCCATAAACAATGGCCTAAGCCATAAGCTCATGAATTAATGTATGTTGTTGAAATAAGAAATTGTAAAACACAACATTAAAAATCAAAGCTTCAGGTAATGTATTCTAATCTTGTAGAACGCATGGTAGATGCACGGCCTTTGTTATAATTTTATCTTTCAATGTACAGGAGAAAAGTCTTAAAATATCTATCTCAAGACAAACCCCCCCCCCCCCAATTACCTAGAAATATTTCTAAAACGGTGGCTTTAGAATGAAATTAATGTAATTTGTTGAAATAAGAAATTGTAAAACACAACATTAAAAATCTAAGCTTCAGGTAATTTATTTTAATCTTGTAGAACGCATGGTAGATGCACGGCCTTTGTTATAATTTTATCTTTCAATGTACAGGAGAAAAGTCTTAAAATATCTATCTCATGACAAACCCCCCCCCCCCCAATTACCTAGAAATATTTCTAAAACGGTGGCTTTAGAATGAGTAAATCCTCTTTTAGCCCTTTTTTAGTTAATAAACTGTTATTAATTAAGATTAAATTGAAAAAAACCTTGCTTAGCAAGCAAGTCATTGGCATTGAAGTTTGTCATTAAATGGGGAGTAACTCTTAAAGATACTTACTTGTAGTTCTAAATAATGTTTCGAAAAGCTGTTCTAGTCTACCAATGTTTCCTGGACACCATTCTAGTCTTCACCTAGTATTACATAACAACTATCAAGACACAAACACCCATACATGACCTTTATGTTGCTTATTTTTGCTCACCAGTGACTCGTGATGACACCCCGTGGGACTTACCAAAAGAATCTCTTGTGCCAGATAAACTTGCTGATAATGTGAGCGACATTGTTTTTTCAAAATAATTTTTTAAACTTATTTTAATGAACTTGACTTACATTCAGGCTCTTGCAGCTTTCTCCAAATTAGTTTCGGCAAGAAACGTGTTGTCGGTTTTAAGATATTGTACTGTTAAAGTAGCAAACACCTGAGAAAAATTGATACCATCTGTGTCTTATATCCCCCTAGGCCCTGAAGCTCTAATCAATTATAGCAACTTTTGGCCACCATCTTGGTCAGCATCCATGTCCATCAATTGATGATTCATTAATAAATGAGATGCATAAAAATATGCTTTCGGGAGATTGTGAAAATAATAAGTTCCACAAAATTCACCATTTTTCTTCATAGTTATAAGTTTTAGAAAACAGGTGAGGTTGGGTAGAGAACACTTGCCTTGACAATAGCAAACCCTCATTCTTAATAAAAAAACAAAATTTAATTTCTTAATTAAAAAAACAAACTTTTCAGAGATATTTATTTCCAGAAAAAAGCCTGGCTTCAACATGAGTTATTCACTGTTTTCTTTCAACCCATTTGTATATGTGCACAAAAATATTAAAGTCTGGCATGGTTTTGAGGTAATTTGTTTTGCAATCATAATCAGTTAGTGATGTTTTTTCAATCTCTATCTTTTTTTGTTTGTTTGTGCCATATTTTCAGGAGAGTCTTTTGGATGTCTATGTGTCAGCTGTAGAGCACCCCGGCCATTTCTGGGTGCAAGTTGTTGGGAAGAAAGCCTTGCAGCTTGAGCAGATTCAAAAAGATATTACGGCATTCGTCTCCACAACAGATGCCAAACAGGTGATTTGTTATCATTGCTTGCTTTGTTGTCTTTTATCCATTCAGTCCACATTTTTTGCGGCCAAGGAATGGCTGTTTTAATGTTTGTCGCTTATATATATTAAGAAAGTGTGATAAAGCACCAAAATTAATTACTATCTTCACAGTCTATTTTGTATTTAAAATCCCTTTACCTCAATGATTATTATTTTTGTAAGACTTTTAAAAAAAAAGGTATTTTGTATTTTAAAATTAAAGATGCTTGTTAGAGACAAAGGTATGTGAGAATTGAAATGGCAATGTTGGGACACTGTTGCAACTCTGGTTCAAAAGCTAACAGCAAAGAATCCCCTAAATTATGATTTAGTCAGATAGATTAGTTGCCCTGGCCCAGAAGAGATGCACAATATAGAACATGAATGTAACCTGAATGGTTTCAGACATGTTCTCAACATTTTTAGTCAATCATAAAAGTTCACAGGTAAATGATTGTGGTAAAATCCTTCCACATGTTACAAAGTTCCTTGAATGTTATAGGCAATCAATACAAATTAAAAATTTACTAAAGGTGAAGGTAGACTTGACTGCCTGAATCATCAACCTCTTTAATGGAAATGAAAACTTTTCCAAACTTTGAACCATCATAAATGCTTTGTTGCTTTTGTCTCATAAACAAGCAACTGTTGGGCATGGATTTTCTGTCAACTGGGATTCCATAAGGTTTTTGTGGCTAGGATGATGATAAAAGACCCTACCGAACACATGGAAGGCATTTTCCATATAGTGGTGACAAAGAGCTTCAGGGCAATGGGGAAGACAACTATGCAATGCAAATTTGAAGTACTTTGTGCTCAAAGCACTAAAGTCTAAAAATACCTTTTTGTCCATAAAATTTGATCATTCTTATTTGCAATGGGTACATTTTAATGTGTTCAAATTAATGCTGTACACTTGACTAAACCATATCAGAAGAAGACTCATTTTATACTGATTTTTGATGAAACTATGACTTGAGTACTTTTAGTGCTAGAGCCTTCAATTGGAAAACAAGGAGGAGAAGAGGCAAAAGTCTTCTCAGATATTGAGATATTGAAAAGATATTTTCAGAAGATGATATAGATGGCTTGAAATTGTACATGGCTGAAACTGGAGAAAGAGATTGTGTTCTTGACCAAAGATGCATACAAAACTGCAGAGAAAGCTCAGACTTTGCAAAGCTTTCCTCATCTACCCAAAGCCAATGCAATGAGTGTCAGGGCAAATAAAAGTCACAGCAACTGTCAAAACGTATCTTACCCCACAGAAGCCAGGTTGCTTAATCAGATCCAAATGCTCAATAAACACTGACTTCACCTCTGACAACTCCATGAGCAGTAACACCCCGAACAATAGTAAATGCTTCACTGTGCCTCGGTGTAACACAGTGCAGTATAAACAATCGTTCTTCCCACGAACAATAATTGCTTGGAACCAACTGGACAATGCCGTTGTGGACTCGACATCAATCAAGAGTTTCAAGGCTGCCCTGACACCCCCTAGGAGCCGTTAGGATAGCCTCATCGTTTCCCAAACCGTTGCACATATGCCAGTACATGGATGCAGCAATGTACCCTATCAGAATCAGAAACTGAATGTTGAAATAAATTAACAGTTGAAATTATTAGGAAACCTTTAACCTGTAAAATAACTTCCCTTTATCACAATCATCAAGAATTAATCCTCCAAACACAAAACATTGATTTTGTACATACTTTTTCCATCCTTGTATAATGCATCATTTTAAGGCACCCTTACTTTATTTGATATCATCTCATGGGTATTTCATTTTCTGCCATTGTTTTTTCTTCCCCCACATAAAAATAGCCATTAATTGCTGTTCAAATGAGATGTATTTAATTTTTTTAAAAGGACATAATTCAGTAATTTAGATTTAAATTTGATATGATAACTTGGATATATTAGAGGCACTAGAAAGTTAATCAAGGAAAGTTAAAGATAGTGGTTAATTAATAAGGAAACTTAATGCTAATGGTTGATAAGAAAATTTAATGATAATGGTTAATAAGGAAAGTTAATGATGATGTTTAATAAACACATTATTATTACTGTATGGTAAACTGTATATACTCTGATTATTTAATATTTTTTTTTACCTGCCATGTCAATGTAGTGTTTTATTATTTAAGCACATTTTTTAAAGAAAAAACTTGATAACATCTGTCACAGCAAAACTTTGCAAAAGTCATACATTTTATTATTTTCAGTTGAGAAAAGTTGGCAAAAAGTAGGGAATTTTAAAATAATAAAAAAAAATGAGAACCATATTTAGTGCCTACTAAGGGAAAACTAAAAAAAGTTTTTTTTTTTTTAACTTGATTTGTTTTAACCATTTTAGATCTAGTTTTTATCTTAAAAGTTCAAGTTTTACCAAAAAAATACTAATTCACTTTATAACAACAGAACTACACAGTGACTGACATTATCCCAGGGGAATTAGTTGCTGCTCCTTTTGATGAGGGAACAGACACAACATATTACAGAGCAAAGATTCTCTGTGAAACAGCAGATGGAAAAGTAGACCTGTACTTCATTGATTTTGGAGACAACACCTTTGCTGAAAAGGAAGACATTTTCAAACTCAGGTATTTTTTTTAGCTTAATTTGGATAAATGAAGAATAGATCATGGGTTGAAATCATGCGTTATCTTTTGATTAGGATGTGAAATTACTTTTTTTCAAAGGCATTTTAACTATTCTTTTGAATTGAAATTAAACTTAAGATTAAAAAAAAGTACTTATCATACTTATGCTTAGTAAATTAAATTCGACCATGCTTAAAATTTTTATTTTAAATGTTTTTTTATTTCAAAATGTACAATTTTTTCAGTGAAATATTTAAATTGTTGTATTCATATAGAAAAAAAATAGTCTGAATTTAGTTTAATTTTTCACCACAAACATATGTTTTGAGTAAATAACAGATTTCTAAAAAGTCATATACTCTTTTTTAACCCTTCAGACCAGATTTCAAAAGCTTTCCACCTCAAGCAGTAGAGTGCCAGTTGGCAAATGTAGAACCTATTGGTAAATTTAATTATAACTTATATGCATTTTTTAAAACACTTTGAAAACTACTATTAGGCTTTACTCAATCTTTATTATTTCCTTACAATTAAATTTAAATCATTTCTTAAATATCAGTCTCATTTGCTTAACTGATTAGCTACCAGATTGAAAAACCGGCTGTGGCTGAATTAAATCTAGGTAACGTTGACTACGATACAAACATTGGCGCTACCTGCGGATCGTGGCCATAACAAAAGTAACGCCCCGTTGCTCCCAGGGGCTTATGGTAGTTAACCAGTTAATGAAGTCATCTTCCTCATAAGTAAACAATGATTGTCAACACAGCTATTTATCTTTCAAATTTTTTGTTTAGTGTTAATGTAAAATGAAGCTTCCTACAAAATAGTGGCATTGGAGAAGTAGTTTCATGACTTATAAAATTCATTGATGATTTTAAAAATGTTAAGTCTAATTTTGTATTACTCGTCAGATGTGTGTGAAATTTCCCACCTCACAATCTTATGTCACAGAGCAGCATTTGCTTTATCTTAACAGCAACCTAAAATTATATCCCATCAGGTGACAGTTGGACAGAAGAAGCCATTACCTGTTTTGAAAACCTGTCTTACTGTGCACAGTGGAAAGTTGTGTCAGCTAGAGTCGTGTCATACAAGTTGGACGACAGAGGATTGCAAATCCCCCTCATACAGCTGACAAGTACCAGTGAAGGCCAGGTAATTTAATTTTTAACTGTTTTAACAGCATATTGCAATGCAGTAGGTTCGGCAACACTGGAAAATGTCAGCTGGTTTGAACTCATCCAGATTTGTCCCCAGCTGTTTTCAAAGTGATGGATGAAATGAAATCATACCATCAGCTGAGGAAGGGAATAGGCCCTAGATGAAGCCTGAGTAAACCACTGTAATCAGAAGACAGCTTGTCATTAATCAACAGGTTTCTATGCTTTCTGGATAGATGTCAACAACAAAAGAGTGGGGGTGGGAGAAAAAAGTAGGGCTTAAATGCTTTTATTAATCAACTGTTAATAACATATTACTTTAACCCTTTAGTGATGTAATCTATCTGTTTGAAGGGTATAGTTTTTGCTATATTTTACTATAGTGTTTACTATATTTATGTTGATATTTCTTGCTGAACATACTGCAGTGCTTTAATTTTTTATTGTTCTCAAGCCTACTTTGTTTTAATTTTGATAAAGATAAGTTTATCTATTTTCCTAAATTTATGTAAGTAATTTCCCCATTACTTTTCTATTATGTTTACAATGTTTTTCTTCCTCTAAAAAGGATTGAGAAAACACAAAACCTCCTCATCCTTCTCATCCTCATGTCCCTTAGTATTTAGACCGTTGGGGCGCCACAGATGACATGTGAACCATCCTCCTCCATTCCTCTCTGTCTTCAGCACTACACACTGCATCGCCCAGTGTTAATCCTGTCCACTCTTTGATGTTATCCTCCCACCTTTTTCTTTGTTTTCCTCTTCTTCTTCCTCCTCTTGTGGTGCCCTGCAATATTTCTTTGGCAAGCCCTTGTTTCCTTGTTACGTGGCCGTACCATTGTAATTTGAGTTTTTTCACAGTCACCAGTAGGTCATCGTACTCCCCAATTGCCTGACGAACCCTTTCTTTCACTGTATCATTGCAGATATGGTCCCTATAGCAGATGCCAAAAATGCTTCTGAAGCATCTCATCTCCATCGCCTTTATTTTCCTTTCAAGGAGCAATAATTTTATTTCTATCTCATCACATGAGTTAAATTGGTAACATTTTATAACCAGATGCTGATCCACCATAACGTACCATGATGAGTAACAATATTAACTTTATTTCAAAACTCATTCTACAGTAGTGCATATTTAAAAACAATTTTCTGAATATATTTATTTATAGGAGCTGGACATAGCATCAGAGCTCATCAAGCAAGGACTGGGCAAAGCTGTCGTTGCAACAAATAAAACCAGGGCTTGTTCGAATCAAACAAATTATAATGGATCTGGTGACGGCCATGTACTAGGGTCAAATTATTAAAAAAATTTGACGCTTCCATGTTAAGCGCCATATTTTCCTAGATATCGGCTTTCTTTTCTTGCATTCTGTTGAAAATTATTTGAGAATGCAGCCTAGCCTTACTAAATGTCCCTTATTTATAAATATTGTTTTCCAAAATATTAAGGGAATATCTAGAAGCTGGGTTGTTTTTGTTTGTTCGCTTTCACTCACATCAGTTTCAAGTGAACCATCTGGAATGCAAATGTTCTTGTTTTAACTGCAAAGTTCTGGGCTTGGGGTTCAAATTGAACTCTTTTTTTGATCAGATGATTTTGCTGGGAAAGATAGAAACAGTGGATATGTGCATTACCAATAATTAAGGGAACCAATATTTTTTTACAACTTGGTAATTATTCAAATCCATATAGTTCAAAGTTGCCTGTATTGGAAAGTGAGATTGCCATTAAACACATTTTAAAGGGCACATTTTACTACACAGCAACGGACAAAACTGTAACTACACTATAAGAAGTGTAATCAACGGATTTTTTTCTTGCTTATATTACTTATAAATACAAATCCATTGTTTGAAATTGTTGCATGGGGGAGAAAGTAAGATTACAATTATTTTTAAAGGAGCAAAATCTGGCCTATATCTGAACCTGAATTTTTTTAAATAATAAATAATTAAAAATTAACACTTGAACCGAACTCGTTTTAATGTTTTTCTAATTTATTTTATCCTTGCAAAATGTACAAAAATTCAGAAATGCAATTCACGTTTTATCATGATGGTCAAGTTAATTTGTTTGATTTTATTCAGTTGTTAACTCATTGGCAAAGGCAGTGGAGGGGAAATCCCTTTTTGTCTATTATTACTATTAATAAGAATGTGTATATAATAAAGCTTATAATTATTTTTTTAAAGAAAAATTATTATTTTTACTTCTGGTGTCATACCTGTGGCAAAAACTTGATCCTTTGGTAATAGTTGTTCTCGTCTTATATTATTTTGTACATATCAAGTGTATTACACCACAAAATGTGCTAGAATTTAAAAAAGCTTTGTCCAAAATAAACTTTTTGATTTTGTACACACTTATGAATAGCTATTGTGAGTGAATGAATAAATTTGTTTGTTATTTGCAATGAAAGCTTTATTACTTTTATGATGTATTGTGAGTGTTCCTATTATCTAACTCACTAACTTTCTAGTCATTACCATTTCCTATACTTTCTCTGCTGTCTTGATCTTTTTCTGAAATTGGATATTATAAGTGCTAATATGTCAATATGCTGAGTTGTCAGGACTTTCATTTTGTTATCAAGTGATGTGTAGGCCTATTGTTTGTTAAAAAAAGGAAATAAGTGCCATCATGACAGAAGTATAAACCACAACACGTTAAAAATCCATTAAGCAGAACTTTAGTTATCAAAACTTCGTTTGCTTAAGATAAGATAAGATTCTTTTATTGATCCAAACAAATGGAAATGTTTTTTGATTGCATTGTACATAAACATTTTCAGCACATAAATAAATAGATATTTTAATTAAGTCCACATTTTTCAACTTAAACAATTTAAACACAAGACATGGACATTAAATTATTTCACTTTATGCCACATATAATATTATTATCTGTTTAATTAATGTACACCCCAGACCTGGTCATAATCAGGCCTTATAATTAAGGTTAAATCTGTATTTTTATTAATGTGGAAAGAGTTAATTGTTTTGAGTTACTTCATTGTTCCGGCAAGTATAAAATTTAAAATATGTTTTAAATTTTTACTTTAAATTAAAAAAGACAAGGAAATAAACAACTTTCGATTTTGATGTGTCTCTTCCTTATCGATGAATGAATTAATTTTTGTTTTCCAATTTAATTTTGAAAATGGATGAGGTGGGAAATGTTCAATACAAGAGAAAAAAAAAATAATCTGATACTGATTTATCTTCCATTCAGTGTAGGCCTACCACATACCCCCACATTAAGATAACATTCCAGAATAACTTTTGAAGACATACCCAGTAAATTACGGCTATTCTTATAATTTATTAATTTTTTTGTAGATGAATTGGGATATGTTAAAAATTCTGTTTTATAAAAATAAAACCACGTACTTTAACATTTTTTGTTATTAATATCATGATGTTGATCATTAAAGGCATTTGGTCCGAGAATAAATCAAATTTACTCAAATTTTTTAAAAGCCAAACTTTTATGGGTTTGCATTGTATTTGGATTTTTAAATTATTTAATTTTTAAATGTCGGTGAGTTTAAATTTAAAGTGATAAATTAATATCGTAAGCAAGTTATTATTTAAATGAAGATTGCAAGTCCTGTTACTCTGCATGACTTACATCAGGTAGAGGAAAAGGCTATTTATAGAACGAAAAGTAGTACGCTTACAGCGTTATAATATAAACAGATAAAAAAAAAAAATTAATATATTACTAAGATATTTTATAAAAATCAATTTTAACCTCCAAAATAGTAAAAAATTAAATGCTTAATAGTTTTTAAGTATTTCACAATTTATCACTAAATTAATATACAGAACTCATTTTACACATTCAACTATAAACAAGTTATTTGCCCTACAAACTAAAATGGCAGACGTCAACCAAAAACTTGTTATGAATGTGTGGCCCATTGTGTTTGTTGTGTATTTCAATGACTTGTGATATTAAGACTTTAAACTAGTTGCTTTATCGCATTATTTCAAAGATGATGTCATCCCCTTTATCACCGTTTACACCTCCTATTGTTAAAAGACTTCTAGCTTGGAAAAAGGGTGAGCACGAAAAGGACGATAAGTGGGCAGAGAAAGCTGTGAAAAGCTTAGTGAAAAAGCTGAAGAAAACAGGAGGTTTGGACGAATTAACTAAAGCACTCTCCACACAAGACCCGTGTACAAAGTGCATAACCATCCCCAGGTAAGTTTCTGCAAACATTGTGTGTAGTCTAGACATTATTGCTTATATGTTTAATCTCGTTTCTCCGCCTTACGTTACTTGTATGTGTAAACTTAATTATTAATATTATTATATTATTAATAACTACTGCTACTAATACTAATAATTAGTCTAATTTGATCTTAAATCTTTACATTATCATTAACTTTAAATCTGTCAATATTTAGGCTTAGACTTAGGGCATACACAGATACTGTGTCAGTATCACCAAATTGACAACAAAGTCAAAACACTCATCCATTCACTCACTAAGACCTGGGAAACACTCCACACACAACAGTACACAGCCACAGACTGAGTATTGAGACTCAGCAAGAAGAGACATTAACTTGACTTAAGTCATTAAGACTGAGGCCTACTATAAACAATAAAGTCAATAGTTGTTAAAATATGAATGAATTTTAAGTTTATTAGTTATTATTATTATTCTTAGTTAGTTAACCTCCTACATACTATAAATCATGTCTGCCAACCTGTGACTGGAATTAAAAACTGTATAAAATGTCGTCACCACCCCCAATCCTTTAAACAGCATGAAAATGAAAAACTTTGCACGAAAAATTTGAAAAGTTGTAAAAAGAATAATTTACTTGACATATATATTATAACTCTTTCAACATTTTATAAAATTTTTGAATGCATGAATACAATTATAAAATGAATTATTTCCCCTTCACTGGGTGCACATTTTAGCATGTTTAAATATACATCATTCATGAATGGATAGACATAGTCTTTTAAATGAAAATAAGATTTTCATCTGATTTTAACGTTTTTTTTTTTAAGGTAGTCAATGGCAATTTTATTTTGGACTCAGATAATGAATTTTATAACAATTTATATGTAACTATACTGTATATAATTCTTTGATTAATTATGCTAACTTTAGTTAGTAATACAGATTCCTGTATTAAATTAGAGAAGATAAATAAACAAAGTCCGTCTGGACAAAGTTATTTTTTCACTGTCTAGGTGAGAAGGTTATGTTTTTTTTAATTGTATGCATTATAAGGGTGCTAGGGGGCCGAGCGGTCTAAACTGTCTTAATCCAAATAGCTGGTGGTATGGAGTTCAATCCCCACCAAAGCCAACATCCCAAGCACCCCGGGTGGATGGGACTCTTTAGCCTTGAACAGCAACTCATCTAAGAGAAGGCAAACTCTGAATTTAAACCAGGAGCCAGAATGATCAACAAAGTGATCGAGGGCCCCTCAAATATAAGAAGAAGAAGATAGGGACATGAAATGTTAATTAGAAGTTTCCATCTGGAGTAAAATAATAAATACAAAAAGAATATAATATAATTTATATATCCTATCATTCTCACTATTTTGACTCTAAATAAGGTATACTTATGCAAAGAAGATAACGCTTACTTTTAGTTTTTAGAAGTAAATTAAGTCATGCTTTAGTTATTTCTAAATAATGACTAATGCTAGTTATTGATAGTAATATTTAAATATATATGAATTAAAAGAACACTTAGTTACACTGCATTTCTTGCTAAGAATCAAACAAATTGATTTATAATTATATTTTACTACTCTAAGAAAATTGCTCACTTATAACGCTGTCTTAGTTTTTACAAATGATATCAATGAAACGGCGCTCAGTTTCTAAATTTAGATATTCTACTGATTCTCAGCTTAGTCATTATGAAGGGACCAATAGGATTTAAACTTCCCGTGGTCTAACGTTGAATTTATTTTACTTTGAGCTTTGAACATGTGTCTTATGCAAAAGTTTTTCTTTTCAAAATCCAGTGAAAACCCGTACAAAAGCCTGTTTGGCCTTACAACTCCACATATGTGTAAAAACCATATACAGTTAGGGTAAAAGATATAGGTAAGCTATAGGCTATTTAGGCCAATCCACTTAATTAAGTAATCAAGGGAAAAAATCAAAAGATTTATTTCCCTGCCATACTTAATGGATAGTGCCTTGGGGACTTCTAAAATATCTTAGACATCACTGTTCAGAAATCACTTACATTTCTAAAAATAATGAGGCAGGGTACACAATTAATTTGTATTGCTTTTATTTTTATTTTATTATTATTTATTTTTATTAAGCATTATCTCCCACACCTGCTAGTTATCAACTTCAGGTTTCATCTTTATGCTTAGGATGACTTCATTAATAAAGAGCATTGGCCTTATTAAGTCTAAAACATATTTTGGGTAAAAAGAAATAATAAATACATCAACAAATTTTTGCCATACAACTGAAGAAGCTAAAAGTGAATCACCTGACCACTTAACTGAAGGGAATTGAAATTAATTGCACTATATAGATCTACATACTTTTAATTTTAAGTGTTACTGATTCACAATGTATATTTAACTTTATAACTAATCTGTTTTAACATCAACATTATATTATGCCAACTCTCTATCTATGTATTACTTACAATTTCTTTAGGTCTAATATTGGAAAGTTACAATAACCCATATTATTGCAAAAGCACTTTATGTTTCACTTATTTAAACAACTTTTAACCAAAATGAGCTATAGCTCAAAATCATTTAAATTAAAGCTGTACTCTTTGAAACAAAATAAATTAGCAGGTGGTCTTCAAATTCTGTAGCCATAATTAATTAAATCAATCAAAAATTACTGTTGAGCTATGCGATCGATTTAGATATTTAATAGTAATTATCACAGCTCACGCTCTAACTTTGTAGTTAATTTTTAAGGCTCACCATGAGCTTTTACAACTTTTCTTTAGCTTGATTGCAGTCCACCGGTATAACTAATACATTATAAGTGACTTATACTAATGCAGCGGATATTCAGGCATGGACCCCTAATCATGATGTTGGGAAAACTAATTTTCTCAATAGTTGAATTAGATCAAAAAATTATTTATCCCTCCAAAGAATGTTTTGTACAATAAATTCCTTTCTGACTTGCAAAGCTTTAACTTGAAGTTAGGATTAGTGCTAGAGTTGGATATAATCATGCAAAATTGCTCATTTATTTAATTTGCTACCTAATATTTGAATGGAATTTCTATTTTGAAAACATCCCTTACTGTGGTATTTTTCATTATCATTTTTAAGTGGCTTACATTGCATTATTTATGAATGAAAATGTATGGTAGCATAGTTTCTTGATTGCTTCTAATCACAAACAAACATCACAAACAAAATTGTTATAAACTCCCAGATTTTGTTGTTGATATTTATGCTATTAGATTGTTTTGTGACTATGATATATTTTACTGGATTCAAAGCTGATTCAAACATTATTGCCTCCTTTTATCAAATAATTTTTTTAAATTTTGATCACAGCAATCAAAATTAATTTTAAGTTATGCATCTTGCAATCTAATACTTGGTACATATTTCTTTAAAGAAAAAATAGAGTAGATTAATTTGGTTAATTTTGTTATCGGTATTTTAATATTTAGCTATTATGTTAAAAAAGGAAATTAAATGTGTCACATTTATTAGTAACGTAGCAAAATTTTAGTTTATTTTTTTCTTTCCTCCTTGAATGTTTTTGTCTTTACTCCTTGAAATCTCTTGGCAACTCTTATATTAGTTTTTGCTATTTGATTTGAGGCATTTGCACAGATCTGTGTGTTTCTAGTTAAAATCACTGTCAGCATTGGCCTCAGGACACAAAACAATCATTGATTTCTTCACTTCTATTTTTGTTTTAATTGTTGTTATGTTTCAATTTTCAAACGCTTTTTTTATGTAAATAATTTTTGCCCATAAAATTAAACACAGAAATTTCAATGGTATCAATCTTTTCATTAAAAAAGAAATATTAATTTCTCAGAGGGAAGTAACCCAATCTAATAATAGGCATGTTTATATTTTTTTTCGATGACCGGCCCTGACTTCTTTTGCAATAAATCTCAAAAATTAAAAAATGTAATGGTTTAAAGATTTTTTACATATTATGTAAACGAAACATAGACGTTGCTTTAAGTTTAATCTAGCTGTGAAAAAAAAAAATTCACAGTGAGACTTTTTGTTCTAATTTAGAATATCCTAATAACAGAACAAACCCTCTTTTTTTTTCTCTCCCTGTCTCCTGAAGTGGATTATTTTAAGCTCTATTTTAAGATGGAGTTATTAACATTATCCTCTTTCTTCTCTTCCTTCCAAATCACCCCCTCCCCAACCAAAGACCTACATTTGAGAGAACCGAGAACCAGAGACAAGAGGTTTTTTTTTTTTTTTTAAGGAATTATTTGTGGCAAATATTTTACGAGAAATCTGTGAAATTTTTATTCTTTAAAAATAAACTAGATCGACAGACAAGCGTAATTCCTATTTTCTTTAGGATTGGCAGAACTTTTTGTGTTCGAAGTAACTGGTTTGGTTTCATTTAGCCTCTCTGTGCCTTTAAGTTCTTATGTACGGACGCCATTAGTGTCACTTCCCACTTCTTTGTTGTCGTTCTCTGTTTCATTTTTTTAACAATCACTTTTCCTAGCGTTTTGACTTCCTATCACCGGCGCTGGCCGCGTGGGAAACCCTTTTTAATCAGATCCACTCAGTTCTTGGGATTACTTTGCCAGGATTATCGACCCAAATAATGAACAACAAATAAGTCTATAATGAAATAGAGTCAAGCTGCGTTTTTTTTTTTTCCCCCCGCTACGCCTCTGACAATAGGTTAATACGAGAATATTTAAACATGAAGACCTCTTGGTGGTTCCACTGACACTTTGATCTTCTATTAATAACTGGTGTGCCCATTACTTGCCATGAATGTACGCAATACTTAACAATGAGTCCTGACTGCGTATCAAACACCGTAAGTTAAACGTGTCCGAAATGACTTGTGCAGTCGGGTCAATATTTACGATAGACCACAGCCAAAATGGGACGGCTTTGTCATTTTGTACCGGATTTGTCGATTTTTAACGGCTTTTTCACCTAGTACCAGCTTGGTCACTTCGTATGT